TGATCCCCCTCATAGTGGAGGTGAATGGGGCTGTGCCAGACATGGTGAGACTTTTATGGAAGAAAGCTCAGGAGCACGTGGCTGTGTTCTGCTGAATTCTCAAGTTTTTTATCAGTTAATGTAAACACTTCTCTTTTTGCAATCGTACTTTCTCTTCAGATGGAATAACAGAAATCAAGTCATACCTTGGCATCTCACTGATTATCTCATAAGATCTTTGCTGAATTGTTTAAAAGTTTCAACTTACCCTAATGAGTTTTTACTAGATCACTTACAATAATTTTACAATAAACACATTACTTAATTTCCTAGGTTGTGTCACAGCTGGCTGCTGGTATTTGGTCCTGCCATAGATTAGGTTGATTTTGCCCAGGTTATGCTGACCTGGCACCTGACCCAAACTGTTATCTAGCTGATAGCAGCCCAATTAGCAGAGTCACTATCACACACTGACAGTGTTCCTCCTCTTCCCTCAGCACTGGTTCCAGCTGCCCCTGAAGGCAGCAGACCAAGACAGATATCGCCTCGCTATTATATTCCTTTGTGCACCAAAGCCCATTTAACAACCTAATGAAAACCTGTATATATGGCATATATATATTTATTCAAATAAATCAGAGGATCAGTGTGTCCTTTCAGCTCTGGTCACAATGACCAGGAATATTTTTTAAATGAACAAAGATTTCATAAGCCATCAGTAAATATTTTATCTTTCAAGGTAAATGACAGCCAAATCTGAACAATTAGAAGCCACAGAGACTCCTCCCATCAAAGCAGGGGAAAGGGAGTGCAGGTCAGCTAGAACTTTTGCATTTCCCAAGGAGTCAATCCCAAAATGCAGCTGAATTACTTGAACAGATGTGGGCTTGCAGCCAGCTTCACCATGGCTTTACAGTGGTGAGAGCCCAGGCACAGATTCACACAGGTGCTCTCTTCTAGAAACCTGGGGGCCCTGGAGGCAAGTGGAGATGCACAAAACACGCTGGGCCTGTTTGAGTATGGTGAGGGACTGGGGGATTGACCTCCCAAACAAGTGACACAGTCTTCCAAAATGAGCTAGGTGGCATCTGGATCAGCAATAAAAGGCAAGAAAAATGCACAGGGGCTCCTGAGTTGAAGGATGTTTCTGAAGGAGCAACTTAAAGCCTACAGTTTATTGTGATGACTGAAGTCACAAAAAGCCATGAATTCCATTCAAATTCAAAATCTATGACATACTGGTTAATCAGACACTTTATTTCTACTCCCACAACTCCTATAGTTACATTATTAACCACAGGAGTGTGCTTTGTGGCAAGTGCTGCTTTAACACCCACAAACGAACATTTATTGTCTATCTCACAGTTTCTAGTTTTCCATTAGCAAGTGCTGTTCCTGGGTTGTCAGTCCCATGGGTCTTGACTTTTGCAGATGCCACATGGACTGTAAATCCACCTCAGGCTGTGTGAACTATTTTGGGAACTGCCACCCAGCTCACTGCAGAAGATATCTGAGGGATGAAGGGTGGACACTTGCAAGAAATGTCTGATTTCTCATTATTATCTGTCTACCTATCTATCATGTTCAAGGGAACAGGCATGTTTTGTGTCTCAGGGAACAAGCTCTTTTATACAGTTGTAATTAATTTATTAGTAAATATTTATTTAAGACAAACTTACCTGTTATGCATTCCAAATAGTTGTACTTCTTGTACAACTCAAAACGCAAATAAAGAAACAAACACTGTCAGCATGAAAACTACAAAATATATACCATGGGAGCTTAGGTATTCATTACAGTGCAGCTTTGTAGGGCACAGTGAACATTAGATATCAGATGAATTTTCTGAAAGCAATAAATAAATCTTTGGATAATCTCAACAGTTCTTCTGAGGTCAGGTTTTTAACACAACTATGCCAACATTTCGTATCTTCTCATGAACTTCTCTTGCAAATCAGAAAAAATCTAAAACCAAGATGTCTTGTAAGGTTTCACAAACAAAAACTTAGTGATAACTGCAAATTAAAAAAAAAAAAAGCTGCAAAATACTAAGCTAATTAAACATGCACAGTATTGCCACTATCCTGCATATTCTTCCATTTTCCTTTCAAGAATAACCTGTTTGTATTGGCATTATCTACACATATCAGTTACCTTGACCTGGCTGAAATGTACCTGAACACAGAACAAGCCCTAGAAAATAAGACTATAGTCTGGTTTTTCTTTTGTCCTGCTACAAGTCAAGTAGAGCATGTCTGCAGAATCTGGTGGAAGCAGTTCTTCAAAGTAGGAAAACAGCTGTTTTGTATGGAGAAGGTTCTCTTAATTTTTCTTAAGAAAATTTATTAGGAGTTTTTGCTATGTATTGTATAGGCCTCAGCCACTGGGGATGAAAGGGAAAAAATTAACAGCTACAACATAATCCTGAAAAGTAAGTACTCATACCTAGTCAGACTGATATTTATGGTAAAAGCACACTCATCACTGACTGAAACGGCAGCAATGAATATTGTATTTAAAGATCTTTGTGAAACACCACAGTTCAAGACAGCCACTCATCTTTTCAATACCATGCACGAGTAGCTAACAATAGCTGTACTGTCACATCACTTGCTGAGTCTCTCTTCTTGTTCCTTGAGAAGAGCACTCACTGTATTAGCTCAAATGCACACCTATGTGAAGTGACACACCTGCATCACATTCCTGCAGGAAGTCTCCCCCTTTGCTCTTCAAGTCTCTGAGCAAGAAAGATCCTGCAGATGTTTCCAAAGCTCTAAGTACCACAATGTCACCCTCTGCAGAATTCCTACCATTACTAGCAGTAGTTCCAGATTTAAAATCTTCCCAGACACTGTATATAGAGAAATCCAAAAACTCTAGCTATGTTTTACTTCGTTACACAGACAGGACCAAATCTGTCCTCCAGATTCCCAGACCAAGTCTGAGGCCAGCTCAGGACTCAACTGCATACACCCTTCTAGCACAGTTGGTTCTTCCATGGAGACAGTCACACATATTTCCACTTCTGTAAGATGGGTTACAGAACTCTAAATCAAAAAATTAGTACAAAATGTTTATTAATTGCTAATCACTCAACAGACAGAAACAAGAGTTTAAATAGGTTAGTTATTTTGTTCTTCAAGGCATTATTATCCTAAATGTTACTTTAAAGAAAACCAGGCTGAAGGAAGACCCAAGTAAAGCAAACACAATTAACAGTCGCAGTAGGGCACCCAGGGGCACACAATGGAACAGCAGCAGCCCCTGGTGGCACCTGGGTCCTGCCTCAGTTGGAGATCTGCAGTCACTACTGGCTTGAAAATAATCCTGCTTGCAGAGTTCTGTTCTCTCTTAATATAAGAACTCTTAATATATTAAATTATTGCTTAAGCTTTTTGAATGTGTATTTATTCTTCCACAAGCAAAATTCAGCAAGAGCTGCCCAACAGCTGGGAAACGTGAAACCAAACAGGAACTGTATACTGCTAAAAAGCAGAAGTAAATTACATGACTCTGAACACCCATTTATTGGGCAAGAACAGGAGAAACAGAAATATGATGTCATCTTTCCAACCTGACTACCCATGCAGCAAAAAGCCCACCAAGACATTAGTAATTATCATTATATCCACTTCTGCTCCCTTACAGCTGCTACATGAAGACCGCACAAGCATCATCCTCTGCAGTTTACACTGGCTACTACTAAATCTCAAGCTGGAACTCAATGGACTGAATTCACCAGCAGAAACTGCAGCTTTTTACCTCAAATTCTTTTCCTCCCTGTATTATCCTATTGCTATTTTTCCAGATAATCCAACCACTACACTCCATCCAATTCTGAAGTAAATGAGCAGAGCAGCAATGCATTTTCAGTAAAGGATGCTAATTTCCCACGTGTGACCCCAAGAAAGGCAGTTTAAGCTCAGACATCTTCCAAAAGGCCAACTACACAAGGATCAGAGCTATACAAGTGATCACACATGCAGAGCTATATATGATCACACAGGCACAAAAACCCAGCAAGGGAAGATGGATTTGTACTGGGAAAGGAAAATCACACACACTGAGTCAGCTGAAGGAGACCTTGAAACATCTTACCTCTAACTTGGCTAATTTTATTACATTGTAAACAGAAGAGATTTCCCCAAGGCTACACAAAAAATAAAATTCTGGAGTCAATGAAAACAAAAAACAAACAAAATACAAAACCAGCACCAGATTTGTATACATTGTATATAGCCCTATAACCATGGTAGCTTAAAAGTTTACTGCACACAACGCATAGAACCAGGGTTCTTTAGAATAGAATTACACGTTTATTGTTCACATTCGAAATACTTTGGTTCCTGACTGAACCATTGAAAGTCCTAATGGATCTGTAAACTGAGTATCACTAGAAAACAATTTAAAATTACACGTAAAATAATATTTATGTATGCATGTGTTTCATTTTCATGGTTTCTCAGCATAACCACTTGTTCTATTTACAAATATATAAAGACTTTGCACTTTAAATCATTGAGATATCAAAGAGGTATTTTCAAATCACACAATAAATATAGAACCTGTTTTGTTAAAAATCTACAGTATACTGTACATTCAAGTCGAGGCAAAAAAGAATTTAATGCCAGTTACACTTGAGACATAAATGAATGTTTCCAATAATTAAACAATTTCTAAAAGTGCTATCTCTGCCTGTGATGAAAGGTAACATTAGGATCCAATATTTCATTACAGTCAAAGTTTCAGACCATTGCTTTATTCACAGAATTAGAGTTTCTGTTACTAGAAAAATATCAAAGCTTTTATATATTCTTAAGTTTTCTCTCAAGAGTTGCAAGAAAGAGGCAAAAAATGGTCTAAAAAATAAAAGCCGTGTGCACACACACAGAAACACCACAATTCAGATCACCACATAATCCTCCAGAAGAATGATCAAACTCACAGCATTCTGTTTCATTTAGAATGATAAGTTTATGAACAAGTCTCTAAGAAAAATCCCAGCAGGCAACCCTAGAAGTCTAAGGCAGCTGTTCCATGTGCAAGTTTCTACATAGAGTGCCAAGCCCAGAGTCTTCCCATGACTTTGTGCATTCTTCAGTTTCTTCTTTGTCATCACTTTCAACCCACGGATTTGGCATGTAATCTGCAGCAGGTTTTTCTGATGCAACACTGGAAGCAGAAAAAGAAGTTACAATGCAAATAAAGAATGCTTTGGATGGAAACAGAGTATTGTTTTTATGATATAATGTTTAATATCCTTGGTTATATACCAACCATAAGCTTTAGATTATACTGTGCTCTACACAGAACTCAGCACTCTACAAACCATCTACAACATTGTTTCACAAACCTGTTTTGTGTAATATACTGAGATATCTGCCAGGGTTCTGGTGAAACAGTAGGACTTGACACAGAGGGAGGTCTTCTTTGCTGAGATGCAGATCTCACTAAATGAATGTCCGCATCAGAACCTGAGAGAGACACACATCAGTTAAACTGCAGTCCACTGGAAATAAGTCCTTCAAGGTTTCTGTCCTCTGCTTTAAAGAAAAAAAACCAAAAAACCCACAAAGACCTTAAAGCAGAGCTATAATAAAACTGTCATTGATATAGACCTGGGATAAAATTTTTAAAGTATTTGTAATGCTATTGAATGAAGTTATGTTAAAATTAGGACTCTAAATTTGAAAATGCAGCATTTGCATATATAGCCACCACTGAAAGAAGTCACATGAAGTCATTCAAGTGTAATTTCTCACTTTACAATTAATAAAGTTTTTTATTCCTTAAGTAAAGACTTCTCCAGCATGCACAGACATAACACCAACATGAAAACCTGCAAACTTGTCAGAATATAGAAAACAAAACCAAAATGAAGTTAGATGTCTTACTACTAACGTGAAACTAACCATCACTCAAGTCCACGGAAAGACATGGCAAATTTAGTAGGCCAGATCAATCTCTTCTCACATCTATATTTCAAAGCTTTTATATGAAGTGGAAAACCAGAATGATTACATGTTCTTCAGAATTTATGGAAGCACCTGAAAGTTAGCTGCTGTGCCGTCAGGTATTTAATATTCACCAGATTGTTTCATAAGTATAAATTCATTATGTAAGTGATTATCAGGAAAGGAGTTACAATTCCCTTTTTCAAAGGAAATTTTGAACCATCAGTTGCCCTGATATGTGGAGGCACACAGATACATGGTAAAACTTTTCTTGAGACCTTTTGGTTTTTTAATTGTTTTGTTCATACTTATGACTTCTAGCTGAAAGGAAGAAAAAACTGTGCAAGAACATAATTTGAACCAAATACTTGCTTCTTAAGAAGGCACTTGGAGTTGTCACATTTTCAGACTTGCAATCAGCAGTCATACTTAAGAACTGGTGCTTCAGCCATGCTCCTCTATCTTCTTCAAATGCCTTTCTCTAAGAAAAGAAATGACAATTTACATTCATGACCAAAGGAAAAAGCCTAGCCGACATTAAACTGATGCTATTCTATTTCAGAAAGCCAAAGCTGTAACACGTCCATGTCACCAAGGAGAGGCAGCAGCTTAACACAGCAAATACTGTCTGTGAGCTTTTGAGCCCAACGAGGATTGGCTGAGGAGGCACTTACAGCCAAGCCCCACAGTTTGTTCCACAGAGGTCAGAGTAATCCTGTCACTTTACTGCTCTACACTCCAGTGACACCATCTCCTGTGCTCCCCATTCCCCCAGAGCAGCACTACCTCCTGGAGCAGCACTCATCCAAGGCAGCTACCAGCAACAATTACTTCTTAAACCTTCTAAACATTGAAAATAGCCCTGATCGCTTCTGTCTAAAAGTGGAGCAAGAAAAAAAAAAACAAAACCAAAATAGATTGTTTCATTTTCCAACCCCTCTAAGCACAGAAAAAAAAAATGCCTAACAGATAGCCTCCAAGAGACCCAACGGCTCTGGAATCAAGCAACAAGCTATTTCATCTCCAAAAATCATCAGTGAAACAGGATGCCCCTATTCTGTGTCAGTAGAAAAACAGAGGAAGCTGAACTCCAACGCAAACTTTCACAAACACCTACAAAGCTCACAGCATTGCTTCTCATTTCATACTTCAGCATTCTGACAAGCTGAAGCATGAGCAGTTATACTTATGCTGCAATGTAGTCCTAAACATTTCCAGACAAACAATTATTGTGTATTATCACTCACGACTTTTACAGCTGAATTCAATGTGCAACACAAAATGAACTCACTAAAATGCAAATAAATTAGTCATAGTTTGCATTTGTTACCATGTGAACTACTGCTATCCCAGCAGCTTAAGTGAAATCTGGAGTATTTTATATTCCGGGTCAGACAGGTTGGCCAGTTAGCTCTGTATTCTGTTAACAACAGTGGCCACAAGAGATGCTATTTATGAGCATGGTCACTTTCTGCAGTGCATTCCCTCACAGGTGCCCATTTCCAAAAGCTATTTGACTATAGATACTGAAAGGCACCCCCTTGTGCCCCACTTTTATTGTCTGTGAATGTGTTGCCCATCAGCTCAGGCAACTGCTCTTTGAACTTGATGGTATGCATTGCCCTTACAGACTCCTTCAAAAAAAAAGAACTACCTAACCATAAAAAAAGCTACCTTTTTGGGTAAATTTTGGAATTAAATCAAAAACAAAGAGTTGCCTCTAGTCCAAGTCTTGAGGGATTTGGTGAACAACAGTAGGGCTTTCGTCTGCTCAAACTGAATCCACAGCTTTATAAATTTTAATCACATCCCACTCCAACTTTCTGCTCTGCACATCAAAGCAAGCTGTTTTTTAAGCAGTAAAGTCCATTTCTTTTTTTCCTGTCATATCCGTACCATTCTAGTTTCACAATGACATCATCATGACCTTTCCTTGCCAAACTTTTAAGCCCCTTCACATTTTTGACCCAAACTATGGGCTAGACCAAAGGAGGTGTGCTAGAGCTTGTTCTTAGACACATCTACCCCGACTGCCAGTATCTTTCTTACTTAAACTGGCTTACTGTCCAGCTTAGCTACAAAACCAGAACAGACAATGACCCTACTAAGGGAAGCATAGTAATTACTTGGTATTTTAGCAAAAGTCATTGGTTTTCAACAAAGTTGAGAAAGTACCTTTGACAGTCAACCCTTAGGCCAAATTTGACTGAAATTTGCATAGGCCGTACTTTTGTAGGAAACCAAACTTTACAAGTATCCAAGGGATTTAGTTAATAAACTTTGGAAGCACTTAAGATATTTCAAAAGCTGAAACAAAAATGGTTTGGTTCCAGTTGCAGAAACTATATTTTCCAATACACACAAAAACCTTGGCTTTTTCAATTGCCAACAGAACTATCTTCCAGAACAACTAAAGCTATGTTTTATACAGTATGGCAATGATCTTTCCCTATAGACAGCATAAACAGATATTGCTGGATGGCTGCACTTTGGCACATATGAAAGAAAGACTTGGAATTCATCTTCCATAAGAACTCCCTTTCCCAATACCTCAAGTCCTAATCTAATAGCAGCTTCTGTAAAACTTTTTCGTTCCTTCTCAAAATTCTTTTTTTGCTCTCGAAATAGTCTCCATTCTTCCTGAAGACGCTCTCTTTCTTCCAACAAATAGCAGTCTTGTAGTAACAGAGTGGTGTCATCATCACATGTAAGCTGTTGCTGTAGATATAAAGCAACAAAAGACAAATGTTAATTTGGGAGTGACTTAAGAGGTACAATATTTCCACAGTTTCAGTTTTATCAGAAAAATGGTTGAAGTTTAATATGGAAACAATGCAGTAGATATCAAGTTGGTGGTCAGTGGGGGCAGATTTCAGATAGCAATCAAAATGTCCCTGTTCTGACAGCCTCACCTTTGTTTAGCCTCCAAAATTATTCCTACCAGGAGTAAAAAGGCCATAAATTATTAACCAAGCCACTAGCACAGTTATACTCAGACCACCCACTAAGCAGTTTTATTTTAAAAGCATGAACAAGGAATGGAGAAAGGCTCAGAGGCAAGAAGAGTGCAACGTTAAATAAAATACACTTGGATTCAATTGAGAAAAATAAAAAAATAAAGCCTACTACCTGTAAGAGCTGTTGCTGAGTTCTGATCATTTCTTTACATTGCTGAATCTCTAACTCTAGTTTCCCAGTTTCTAGCTCATGGTCTTCTCTTGAAATGACATCTTTTTCATTCAAAGCTCCTGAATGTCCACGTGACACTAAGGGAGAAAAAAAGCATCTTTAAAATAAGTTATAAAAACTCCAACACCTCATATCAGAGATGCCTTGGGAGAGCAAAAGATTTTAGACTCTTAGTTTCAGCATGAAAGACAGACATGCTTTTGAGTGCGCTGTGTATCAGAGACAAGAGTTCCAAAATTGGTGCTACGAGTAATTATCCGTCAAATCCACTTAAAAAAAGAAAAAGCAATGAAAACACGGCTGTTTCACATTCCCCAAGGTAAATCAACCATCTTCGCTGCAATAAGTGTTACAAAATCCTCGCTTGTTTCAGCAGTCATTTAAAAGAAAACTCAAGACAACTAAAGATTTTTTTTTTCACTGACATGCTGTTAGCCCATTCTTCTGAGCCCATTTTTGAAGGGCTTATGTGTTCATAAAAATATGACAGTAACTATATTTATCACAGATATAAAAAGAAAGCCTTTTCCTTCAAGTCCTGTGAAGGAGAAATGGAGCTAACAAACACTGGATGCATGTTTTCATTCCTGTAAGGGAATGAATTACAGAAATGGTTGTATTTTATACAACTACACACTGGCTTATTTAGCTCAATGCATAGCTAAACCACAATGATTGTAATAAGACAAGTTTTGGTCCCCTAAAGCCAGTATTTGAACATGAATAGAATCCTAAAGGGCTATACTATGGTCATCCCTATAAGCTAAAAAAACAGAGAAGATGACTACAAAAAAAGAGCAAACAATTGTAACATTTTTCCTGATGCTTATTTTTCAGTTAGTTACACCAAATAAAGTATTACAAGCATTCTTGAAATCCTTTCTAGGGTGTAAACATACTCTCAAAGGCCATCTGCTGTTTTATTTGCAACTGCATGCATGACCTTCTCAATCTTACTCTTGACAGCAAACATCCCTGTGGTAGTGGCTGCATTTACTTGCATGGAAAAATAATACTAGGAAAGAATTTTATATATTTTTAGCTGTCTTAATGCTGTTTAACAGCTGGAAATGAGAAGAGTCCAGCACCATACCATCAGTTGGTTTGTTTTAAAATGCCACAAGAAGTCCCAGAAGATGTGGCAAGACTAGGCTCTTTAGAGGGAATTATATATTTTGCATCCAATTATTTCAAAGTGCCATACGTGCATTGCTTTTTCCAAAATGTATTTTATATGTACACATAATGCAGCTAAACACCAACCTTGGTTATCCAGCTTTTCAACGTGATTTTTCAACATTCGCCACTGCTTTCTAATGCTGTTGGTAAGCTGCTCCCGCACAGTTTCACAAGATAATTCCCACATATTCTCTTTATTTAATTCTCCAATATCTTCCTCCTGGTCTGACAGCACCTGTAGAAGCAGAAATAAGAAGCTGCAAACCGTTTCATCCCTCCAAATATGTGCATTTGTTTATATAAATATGTGCATAAATTTGATTTACTGAAGAAAAGGAAAGCCCTTGCACAAAGATTTTTCCATCCAGGGAAATTTGACTCTCAGGGAGTTCAGCTCCCTGACAGCATAATGCTGAGGAGGCAAGTGAGCAGGCAGATCCCAGAACCCCTGCACAGAGACCGTGGGTCAGCTAGCAAGACTCAGTCACTCACATCTGCAACCTAGAGAGGGTCAGACTGCTGAGTTCTGCTGTCAGAATTAGGCAGTAGCTGCCCCAGTATGGGGGCAAGTCATCCAGTCAAGAAGAATACTCACACCTTATAAAGGAGGTGACAGGGAACCTACATGGCTGTTCTACACAGCCATAGCAGTAAACTGTTCAATAAAAACATCCTTGTAAAAAAAATACTTAATCTGGAAAACAAAACCCCCCCAGGCATCCAAAATCCAGTATTTTGCATTTCTATATAGAATTACATACCAGTAGCTACTGCATTTTCATTCACGCAAAGAATATTTTCAAGCTTTTAATTTACTTACTGGAAAGAATACACTGCATTGTTCACAGAGAGCAGAATATTTATATTGAATTTCACACAAAGCACATGACGTGCAATCCACTGCAACTCTCAGAAGAGGTTTACTTTCTTCTTAATAACTATCAAATTACTCCAGTACTATACCAAACTACTATGGAGATTTAATTTTAACTGAAGAATACTTACCAGCCCATCTTCAGATCTTTCTTTAGGTTTTTGCTTCTGTGGTGGAAGAAGTGAAATGATATCTTTCTTCATTTGCTGAAGAACTTTCTTTAGCTCAGTATTTTCCAGTAAAAGCTGTTTTTGGCGTTGTTCATAATCACTTAACAGAACTTTGTACATTTCTTCTTCATTTCTGGAAGAAATAATCTTACAGTAACAACATAACAGCCCTCATACATGCTTCAATTAAGGTTGTTCTAAGACAACTACCTGGCTTCTGTCTTATCAGTCCTCCATGCACCTCTCTTCCCATCAGCTCTACCAACATAATTTAGAACTTCCATAGCTACAAATGAAAAGGATATTTCAAAGTGTGAAACAATATGCAAATAGATAAAGATTTAGATGACATTGCATTTATATGTAGTTATTATAAAAAGATCATATTACTCAAATATATCCCTCAAACTTCAGACTCATGAAATCACATGGCCCCGCTTAAAGCAAAAATAACAGTCAAAGGAAAAAGGGTAAGTTTGAGTTTTGAAACTCAGGAGGATATATTCTCATCCTGTCTTATCTTTTTAATGCATTTCATTATGACACCTTCATCCCTATTTCAACCTCTATAGCAATGTATCAAGTCTGTGCTCATTCTGGCAATAATGCCAGTTTTATCTCTTGTTTAGGGTAAAGAACTTATTAATGTTTCTTAAGGTATTCCTCAAAACTTCTCTGTCCACATTTGAATAAAAATAAAATCAGAAAACCCCAACCACCCCACTAACAAACTCAATGTAGGGCTACAGATTGGTGGTCCAAGCTAGTTAGCTATCAAGCAAACAGTAACTAGCTTTAAATCCCTGCTATTTTTACCTCACTGATATTTGAACTAGTACTAGCCACCAGAAGTCAAGAATGTTTAAGTTTTGCTGACCTCAAGGTGAAGTTTCTAGAGTTTACTGAAATGATATCTAAAGATTTTCTGCAGCCAAAATAGATGATCCTCCTACTGTGTCCTAACCTGGTTTGGCTTAAGCACAAGGACTTACAGAAAACTAAGTAAGCAAAGAACCATCTTGGCAACAACAGGAATAGTTTTCTTCTGGTTTAGTGAACTAAAGAGCTTACTAAAACATGCACTACAGCTGGCAAACAGCTGAGTTTGGGGGCAGCAGGGGGACAAGAGCAGGACTTCCCTTCCAGTGGAGATACATTATATAAATACTTTAAGGACAGATACATGAACCAAAAGGTACATTATTTTTTTTTTTTTAAGTACCTAACAACAATACCCATTTTCAGCCATTTTTCACAGAAAATGGTATTTATGGTAAATAGCACTGATGAATGTCTTGAACACAATTTTTGGACAGCACAACATACAAGTACTCATGATAAAGGAGATCTGGTTTCTCCTCATTTCACAGAGTACAGGATGGTGCTTCTGCCTTGTGTTACTGCCTCTCAAACCTTTCATTACTTGTGCTAACCACAAGCAGAGCGTAGGATCTCCAGAGTAAAAGCTCATGCAGTGCCTTCCTGATGGCAACTGCTTGGAACAATACAGTGTTTGACATTATCCAAAATCTTGTGATGGCAACAGCAGCAAGAGAAGATAAGAGATGGCTCTAGCATAGGCATTGATTCCTATGGAATCCTAGGAATAAATTTTCCTTCAGAAAGAAAAAAGAAACCCAAAAAAACAACCCCACCTCATTAGGCAAAAGATCAGCATTTGGTTTATGCTTGGTAAAGGATCTTATGGAACACAATGTAGACAAGTCTTACAGTCAGCTAACATTAAATATTGCAGCTTTTCTTTAACATTCCAACATCTAAATAAAATCTGCAAGAGGGCTGCATTGCCTTTAATGATAAAAATGCTTAAAATTGGCTCTGGTTAACATACAGAATATGCTAATTTTGCTGTGGTAAAATTCAAAGAGCTACTTACCTAACTTTTTGTCTTTTTTATTCATGACTAACTGATGTAAGCGCTCCTTTAATTTGTTGTATTCTCTCTCTTTCCTCTTCATATCATGATTGTATTGTGTAGCTCTACTTGAAATTACATTCTGTAACTTCTGAACCTAAAAGCAATGCCACAAAAGGCTGTTTCTTCCACTAAAGTACAAACATAAATTTCTTCAGAAAACCAAAACACGAGAGGCAAAACAAAACTTCTATTAAACTGTTCTTCTGGTGAAAGGAAGTGACAAAAGGAATCAGAAGAGCTCTCCCACCCCATGGATTCTGATCTCAGACTTATCTCAGGAGAGGTAGTTTCTGTTCAGCAGAAACCCATATCATAAACAGCAGATTATAATACTATCATTTCTCTGAAGTACAATTGAAATCGTGTTCTGATAAGTCACATAACCTTTAATGCCTTGACTGAACAAACCAGAGAAAGATGTATCTTTACGTTCAGCAATACATGTTCAGGATCTAGGCTTACTCCAATCCTAAAGCATGCTTCTTAGGCTTACACTAAAAAATAAACTCCTCTTCTTGGGGCAGCAGGACATTGAAAGACAGACTATTCTATTTGGTCTAAAATAACATTAAAACATCATACAGCAAATTTTTGACATGTACTATCAATTCCTAGGGATGTATTGTTTGGGTGTTTTTAATTTCATTATTTTAACCTTACAAACATACAGCACATTCAATATTTTAAGCTGGAACTCTAGGAAGTTCACCATGAACAGTTAGTACTGTTATTTCCAACTGTATGAACATGTTTATGAACACAGAACATTCACAGAAACTTAGAGGAGCCACATTCACAAAAACATAGGAGCCATGTGAAGTACAATGCTAGGAAAGGAGCATAAAGGAAACAAATGCTAAACTAAGAAGGGTCATGAATGTCAAAGTGTTTTCTGATCTTAATTGTTTCAAGATATTTAAGTTTAATGAGATGGTGTTTTTGAGCTGGGTTTCCCCCCACCTCCCTCCTTATTGGTCTTTTGCTCCCCTCTACAATATAATAAGAAAACCCCAAAAGCCTCTATACACAAATGTTTGAGTAAGTGACTGAATCCTGTTGCCCCTCCTACTTTTGGATATATCTGAGCATTCCAAGATAAAGCTGTACAGAAAATGCCAGAAATCCACACATCTGCATTTCTGCAGTACTCTCTACTATTGTTCTAACTTGGACCTATCCCTTATAGAACCTATTTATCCATATGCAACACGCCAGTCAACTTGAAAGACAACATTTACCAAACAAAAAACCACATTCAAAATGAGCAATTACAAGACTCCGTGCATAAAAAAATATTCTTCAATATCTATATAATGACTTGTGTTAATGTACAAAACAACTCACTTCATCCTTTTCATTTTTAAGTAATTGGTGCAAATTTCTGTTCTTGCTTTGCAGTTGTCTGTCTCTTTCCTGAAGCCCAACTATTTCCCTTTTAGATAATTCCAACTGTTCCTAGAAAAAGTGTTGATAGTTCAGTATCAATAAGAATTAAAAGCATAAGATTTTAAAAAAACCCCAACTAACCAAAACAAACAAGCAATGTTAACCAAACTGCCAAACCACCTCACATGAGATATGGCTCAGTATTTCACAGGTATTATCTTTTACAGTTAGGACTTTTTCATTAAGTCAGGATTCTGTAAGCATATCTGTACTGTGAGAGTGAGGTGGATATTAAGCAACCTTTTTACTGGAGCATTTCTGTTGAATAATCAAGGGTACAATTAACACAGATATACAGACTGTGACCATAAGAATGCAAATGGAACATTTCACATATACAGAAAGGGCTAGACAGATGATCTCATTACAACAGACAATGCAAAACTAGCATTTGAAATTTTTGTCCATGAATGAGACTCAGATCTGAAATTGTCAGCTTAAATGGCAAGCCAAATAGAAACTTTTCCTTCATATGCATACTGAGGTACAATGGGTAGATATATTTAAGCAACAAGAACTTCTAAACACACCACAGTGATATACAGTTAATACAATAGTGGAAGTCAAGAGGATTGCTGTATGGTAGCTGAAAGAACCTACATGAGGAACCTCACAAGCTAACAGCCAATTAGATGTCCTGGCATTCACGCAGTACTAAGAAGATTTCCCTCTCTCCCCTTACAGCTATTCATCTAGGGAAAGCAACCAGAGTGTTTTAGAAACTAGCATTTTACAGTGTTTGTATAAAAATCAGTGCAGTTACAGATTACTTTTAATCTGTAATCAAAATCCTTCTACATGAATGACCAATCTCAGCAAGAGGGCTACTACGATTTTGAAAATCTACAGCAGTATTTTCCAAGGAGACAGTGATGACCAGCCCAAGTGAAAAGCAGACCTAAAAAAGCACTGAATCGTGCACAGAAATATTTTCTTTTATATTTTATTTTCTTGACAGAATTAAGAGAAAGTCAAATCTTTCTAATATGACTGCACGTACAAGTGCACCCAGGAACTTCCAATATATCAGCTACTCCACAGGGACTGGCCTTGAGCATGTGTTTATCCTGCGATAAAATGAAGCTTAGTAACTTGTGGTTTGACAACAGTTTCTGAGCAATTCTTAAGAAGAGACTTTGTAGTTGGATATTCAAGGCATCCAACAACAAAAAAACCACACAGAAAAAGCTAATGATATGGAAAAAGACGAAAAAAACCCACACTTGAAGAGTTGTGTGCTTTTACTTGTTACAATTACATTGGAAATTTATCTTTAAGAGCTGGGCATACCCTTTTAAGCAATTAAAAATTATAGGAACTGAAGTGTTTAATGTTTTCACCCAAAGTGTACATTAACACTCCCAATTCAAACAGTCTTCCCCCTTCCTTAAGGAGGCTAAAATTCCAAGTAATTAGAAGTTCTCTTGTTAGCTCATATTTCATTAACTTTAAGGCATTTTCATTTGGAAAAAAAATACTTCCAAAATCCCCAAAATACACAAGAAAATACAACTGCAAATTAGTACTGGGTAGGAAAAAAAAAAAAAGAAGAGCTGCACAATTCTAATGGAATGATCTTGTTTTCTACCTTTAACTTAGCATAGCAGTTCTGCAAGTGATCCATATCACTTCCCAGTTTCAGATGCTGTATTTCTATTTCTTCCTGAGCTCGAAGGTTCTTGTGCTGCAGTACAAGCAATTCATTTATACAATTTACCATAGATACTACATCTAATTCTTTTCCTTTGGACTCCGCATAAATAGAGGGAAATCCCAATGTTGTTAATTCCTGGTAAAAGACAAGGGGGAGAGGGGAAGAAAGGAGATCAGTAACTGGATCAATCCTTCTCCAAAAGACAGAAACAGTATCAGGTGAAGAAATCCTGTATGAAGGGGGAAAACGCGACTCTTCTTTCCCACCAACTTCAGCTTCTGGGCACTGAGGAAGAAGCCTTAATCCAGTCAATCTTTTTTACCACAATTGTTTGTGTGCAGGTGACAATCTCCAATAAACAAAAATTTGCCTTACCCTATCAATATAGGCTATACTCTGTTCAATATTCTCTTCTGTGCAGAAGGCACTGAAAAAGCTGTGCATGCTTTTGGACGAAGGCAGTGACAAGCGTAGCACTTGTGAGCTCATGCTTGTAGGAGATCTCCTTTCTTCTGAGGTATATGGAAATATATTTTTGCTATCTAAAAGTTAAATATTAAGAAGAGATCAGCTGTTTTAACACATCACATACAATAAAACCCTTACATATTCAAGTTATTATTTACAGAAATTTAGATTCTAGAACTGAGAATTTGATCTAGAATGACATTAAACAATTCACAATATATATGAAACAGAAACTTCCACTGAAGATTTAGACTCAATAACACTTTAAAGTGTTGTACCTTTCAAACTTTACTCATCCACCAAGAAAAAACTGGGCACACTTCCTTTTTATTGACTTACTACAACAGAGGTGCAAGAGATGTGCATTCAGTAAAATTCTTATAGAACATATGGTACTATTATACCTGTTAAGAGTATGCTGTAATTTCCTCTTCCACTAGGCAGAAAAATATTTCCTCCTTTAACAAATTTGTAACCAATTTATGAAGCAAAAGAATACAGAACAAGTAAAGAAATCTTTGAAAGCACAAGATACATTGATAAGCGTGATTATAAAAAGTAAAATCTGACTGCAAGTCCTTAACCTTTCCATACATGTGCAAGTACAATATTTTACATTAGCATTTCTGTAAGGACTCAATCCAAGACGAAGCACTGTTCGTATTATTTACCACGCTGTTTACTCAAATGTCATGCACAAAACTCCAGTCTCTCTCTTTAGCTGCTATAACATCACTCGTAAAATCAGCAAATCAACTAAATTCAAAATATTCCCAGTTTACCTGATGACAGCACCGGCACAGTAATAGTCTTCCAATCTCCCATAGCAACAGAGACAGGCTGGGTACCTGAGCAACCAGTTCAGCAGCAAAGTATTCAGTACAATTGCTGGCAACGTGTGTTACGTAGGCATCTCCTAAAATAGCAAGAGCATTTCAGATTAACAAAAGCAGCTAATACAGCTAGAAGGCTAAAGAAGGCACAGGAGAGTGAGTACTGAACTTGAACCACGTGAAATTTTTCTACTTCTTTACACTAAATTTGGAATAAAGTAAAAAAAGCAAATAGTATACTGTAAAAACGATGCATCTATCTATCTATATTTAGCCTTAACTGTCTTGTAAACCATTAACTAAAGCCAAAATGCCATGCACACATGAAAATTAAGACTCACAGATAACTAGTTGTTTCTGTTGATGTACATCAGAGAAAACTGAGCAAGACAAATATTTCTTCCTGCCATATATAACCAGGAAGCAATTTTATTACCGTAAACTTATATGAAGTTTTAACATATGTCTGTCCAAATGGGATTGTTACTTAAAGAGATGTATTACAAAGGCTCCAGAGAGGATATATTGGCAGAGGGCAGAGGAACTTTTATTAAACATTTAACCATATAAATTAACTTACACATTTAGTAATATTGCCTTTCCCTAGCAAGTTGCTTGCTTCCTCGCAGAAACCCCAAAACTGTTGAAGGAAACAAATAGGAGAAGCCTTACCGTGCTGGCACAGGCTCAGTACAGTCCTGTCCCTCTGGAAACCAAAGGGAAGCCACCCACTCAAAAGAAAGAACAAACTGATTGTCCCCTCACCCCACCTCCACCGCGCAGTAAGAAGGCACATAATAGCATTAGTTATCTCTCACTGCTGGAAACTTTAAATCCAGCTCGGGTGCTAAAGATCTGGACAGCACAACCCATCAGCTGTTAGGGGAACAATGATACTTCAGGGAAACAAACTTTCCACCTGACAGAAAAGAAGGCCCCTTTGTTTCAACCAACACTTTGGAACAAAGTCTAAAGCCTGTTTTAGATGGATTCAGTAGATTTTTAGAGCACAGGGATTTCTTCCCTAACCCCTTGCTAATGTTCCAATAAACACACTTTGGCTAAGCAACTTCCAAATTTCTGACACCAAAACCTTGTATTTTTACCAATGTGGAAAAAAATGTCATTTGGGTGGGGAAAGAAGGGAAGGGACCGGGGGGAATGTTTTATCCCCAAAGGTCTCTTGAGAACACAAAGACAGTAAAAATTCTTATCAAATGACAAAGCACAGAACACAGTGTCCAAAGAATCACCAAGTTTTTAAGAGATCACATTGGTGCACAGTCATGTTACAGAATGCTCAGCACTAAAAAAACCCTCTGAGTAATTATCCAGCTGGATGAACATTTTTTTCCCAGATTCATAGATGTACATGGGAAAAAAGGTAAACAGTTCTTCCACACGTTTTGTAATTTAGTAGCTCCTGAAAACTTTCAGATCAGAAAGCACACACAAGGCAGCAAGAAAACAGTCAGTGTAATGATCTAGTTGCTGTTCTTGTTAAAGAAATTGTTTGTTCTGCTTTCTCTCTACTTGATTTATGCATATTTTTCCCCCCATAAAACAAGATGTTCACAAATTAACTAGACAACAGTGCCTTTAAAATGGAATGCAAAGCCAGTAAGTATTAAGAAAACACATTTCTTACACGCTACTTTATTTTTGCTGGATCCATCAGACAGACAAATGCACAAACATAAGAGAAAAAGGCAGCAAACTAAGGTACAACTATGTTTTCATTACTGACATCACAACCCTGCAGTCTTATAACATTTTTCAAAATATTATTAAGAACTTTAAGACACAAATTCCATCAAGGACTGTTGGAAAGTCCACAAAAATACTTATCTCATTTTAGATATGCTGCTCCTTCCAAACAAACTGGCTTTCATTCTTTAATAGACTGCACCCACACTCCCTGAACACACAGTACTCTCAACCCCCAGGTCTCTGCACTGACAGTACTATTCTGACACAGCATCTGTCACCCTAAACAATGTCTGACTGGAAGCAGCACTAATCCAGGTGTGGGAATGCAACAATTCTCTAAATGTGCACCCCGCAAGTCACACACAGATTCATCCAGAGCAGATGCTTTAGCAAGACTACCTTGTACACAGGGATCTGTTATAGACAATTCCTTACCAGGTTCAATGACTTGCCCAAAAACCTGTAACCACCCACTGCTTTCTAGAGGTAATTTCCCAATTGGCAGCGTCACTTCCTCTCCCAAGCAAGGAATTCCTGGAGGCCAAGACACAGATGGACTGTGCAAAAATGAGCCTCCGGGACCCAACTGCAAAAGTGCGAATACAAGAGCAGAGCCATCTCACTGAAAAAAGAAATCTTGTGTCAAACAAAAAGACCCCAACATATATCCCACTAAAATTACAGAGAGTTTGATTATACCAAGGAAGCAGTAATCAAAGCAAGGCATTTAAGTGATAGTTGGAACAAGAGAAGTACAAAAAACCCAAGGAACATAAAAAAAAAAAAAAAAAAAAAAAAAAAAAAAAAAAAAAAGCACTGCCATGGTAATAACATACCAGAACTTCTTTGAAAGTCACCTTGGGAATTTTTGGACAAAAAAACCCACAAATATTTCCAGAAACTTCTAGATAATTCACTAATAAATACATCTCTCTTTTCAAGAACATGACTAAAGTTCAAAACTAGTATATTTCATAAGTTCAAAGAGCTGAAAGAACCTGCTCATAGGCTTGTGTTTTGGAGGACAGGAGAGGAACTGACAATAAATGTGCCAAGATTTAAGACAGAAATCTGATTAATTAAGCCTGAGTTCAGGCTATATAAAAACTTGAAAATCATAAGCAACGAGAAATAGAATGAAAAACTTAACACAAAACAGCACACTTAAAATTTCTAAATATCATGTTCAAACTTGAAAAGGAGCAGTTGTAACTGAGTTTGTAAAACACACTCAAACAACCAGCAAAGAATTGCCACAGTGCAGTGCTGTGCTGCGATCATATTGCACCATCTGGTCATCCCTAACCCAGACAGGGTGTGACACAAGTGGGAAATGCACTATCTGCTAACCTTCTACCCTCTCCTATCTGCTAAAGCTTCTGTCCCCACCAAGGTAGGGAGGATGTGGAAAGGCACCTCTGGAGAGGTGCAATGCCTCAGAAGAAAGTTTGAAGAGTCAGAATCAACCAGAAATAGCCTACCATTCCTTCTCTGTATATTTCAAATACTACAACTTGTGACATGCATGTGTTTCAACTTGTAAAACTGCGGGGGTACTCAGCATTTACTTTAAGACCAGTGTGATTCTTCTCTACTAAAATAATACCCAAAGGGAGCTCTGAAGCTGCTTAAAGCTTTTACACTTGTCTAGTAATCCGCAGATGTCACACAGATGGCTTTTATCTGGATAGACAAAGAGACACAGAACTCTAGGTAAATTCAGGGGACACTCTAGGCATGACATTGAAGGTTTACAAATACATCTCTGATAATGTCGTGACATATACTTGTTTTAATTCATGTAATTGCCATAAAAGTCCTTGCATTTCCTCCCTAGAATTTTGACATTTACTATCTCTCTACACAATTCCTAATAACAGTTTATCATTAGCACTAATATATATTATATCCACTAATAATAGTACAGTAAAAATAATAACTTTTTCGGAATATCTATTCATTCTAATGACCTTTATTTAAAATTGTAATTTTAATGATGGCTCTTGTAATTAAATCTGAGCCCAGATTTTTCTTTCCACACTTATAAAATTGTGGCAATTTAATCATTAATCTATTAGCTTCAAAATGAGGGTGAAGAAATCCCTCAGCTTATCCACATTCCATGGAAACTTTAAATAATATCAGATTTTCAGGCGAATTTCCCAGTATTGTCAAAAGTAACATGAACATCAAGTCAAACCACTCAGCCTATGGGTATGAAGTCTCTCTGTTCCTTCTGAATGCATCATACTCAAAAATCCCAACTACATTTCTCCCCTCCATTTTACTTAAAAAAAAAAAAACAAACAGGAAAGCAAATTAAAATTACCAAGGGTTTTAAGAAAAGAGATATTCCATCTTCTCAACACACATAATTACACAAGAATATACTCTTATAGCTGATAAAATTCAGTGTTCAATGACTGATCTGTCATGGTCTTTGCCTCAAACACTGAGGTTACAAGGAATATAATCTGATGCACTACCTCAAGATTCACCTCTACATGCTATATACAGAGATGACTGAAATTCTGTTACTTCAATCACTGAAAAAATTGAAACACATGGAAACATTTTATCTGGCTCCCAAATTCCTACCCCATTTTGGACTAACACGATGGATTTCACGTTAGCATTTTCCTATCACTAAACAATAACTCTGTTGTTAAGCTTCAAAACTGCATTTCTCCCTTTGCATTCACAAACCACTTACTATATGTAGCCAGAGCAGAACATTCTATTACCAAATCTCCCCATGTCACAGACAAGAGAACCCCAGAAAGCATCTTCTACTACATGTCCTCCTCTTCTTCCTGAGGTCAGCTTTAGCCAAACTTTACAGCTGTTTGTAAGCAGACAACTTTTTAAAAGAAAAAAATCCGCTATCTTACAAGTTCCTAAAGTTGGTGAGATATTTACTGGGCAGAGCCAGAACTAGTATTCCAGGTATCAGAAATTAGGAAACTTACATGTTTCAGCAGCATGTAACCTGAAATCTAAATCAGGCATAGAATGCAAGAAGATAACTACATAGCTTCTTTAGAGATTACCAGGGAATTCAAGGAATAATTCTCTTGTAAATTCTAGGTTTCTGTTAATCAAAACATGTCACAGAAAAGACTTGACAAACAAACAAATATGACTGGTGAAGTGTCAGCATACCTTCTGTGGAAGGAAGGAACACTAACCAGCCTGCCACAGTGCTCTGGAAGAAGGAAGCATCCAACACACCTGGGCAAGACAGCATAATTGTATTTTCAAAAAGCTTTTCACAATGTTCCCTCCAAAAGCTCTTAAATTAAGATGCTAAGGAATTTATTAATGACTGATTATAAATGGAAAAGGGCAAAGTATCGAAACAAGTTAAAGATGGGTGAGCAAAGTGTAAGAAAGTGACAAAGAGAGAAAAATTAGAGTCCCAAAGGTGTCTGTGCAGGCATCTCTCTACACACATCATGTAATGTATACATATACTATATAGTACATACTCATGTATTATGCAGAGTTAATCACAGAAATAAACACAGGTTGAATGACATACTGCAGAAGGTTGTCCTCATACTGAGCAAATAGATAATAAAAATCAGCAGCTGAAATTCCTTGTTCATAAACACAAACTAACACAACGAAAAAGACAACAACAAGGCCATGCACTTAAACCAACAAGACTCTAGTCAGGCATTTTCATGCAGGAAGAGATCCCAGTCCCTATGATCAGTCTGGAAATAACAGCTCCCAGGCAGTTCACAGAACCCTGGAGCAGAGGACAGAAGAGGCCACCATAATGTCTCCTGAAGAATACTAAGCTTCTGCACCTTAAATATGTCACAGAGATACAACCTTCCCTGTAAAAAAAGACAGAATATACCTAAATATGGTGCAAGAAAGGTCAAGCAATGCTTTCATGCAAGAAACTAATAAGCTGTGACTTTTCAACTAGAAGAGGAAACAGCTGGAGAAACAGGACCAACATACAGAAAGCCAATATTCTTTGCTTCTTTTAACACAGCAGCTATAAAGAATGCAATGAAACATTTAGTGCAAAAGCTAGGAAATAAGGGCATTTTTCCACATAAAACACAAACTGTGGACTTGCATCACCATGAATTGCTGTGAATACTCCATACACAAACTGCCTCCTAGTTTTGAAAAACATCCATCAGCATCTATTACATTTTAAAAGACAGATGCAGCCTCTGCTCAGAAATCCTTCAACTCCAGACTGCAGCATCTTGGGAGGATACACAGATAAAAGCATTGCTGTACAACCAAACTATACTTAACATATTTTCCTTAGCATCAGAACCGAGATATTGAGCCCCATAAGCCTGGTGCTACCCTCTCTTATGATCCTTCTGGTCCAAATTATAACTGATATTAGTATCACAGCTTTCTCCCCTTCCCCCCCCCCGGAAACAACATCTTCCCCCATAAACACCTAGAATGTGAAATCCTCATTCATTGTACCAAGCAATTTCTCTAGGTCTCCTTTCTAAGTTCAATACTAAAATTTACCTAATACGTTCACATTATACTTCGAATACCTCTTATTTTAAGTCATTGCCCTGAAATTCCTATCATACCTTGGCAGCCTATGGAGCTCCGCTTAACTATTTCACTCACCACCGCAAGCAGCAGAGCGTTCTACATAATCTGGGGATGCAGGAACACCACAAACTAGTCTCGCATTGCGATTTGATCTTCAAATTTAAAGCAGCTTTGCTGCAAATGAATAAGATTTTAAAAAACGTTTTTCAAAAAAAAGCCCAAGTCACTTACGAAACCTGTACTCTCGCATCACGTGAGCCGCCAGCTCAGCCCGAGCAGTCACAAATTCCCTGACTCAGTAGAAAGCTTTACGGCTCTCACCTCCGAGCATCTGCCGCTTGTAGCTTCACAGAGACGGCAAGCGCCGGGCCCCACAGAGCCAGCCCCGCCGCGGCTCCCCCGTCCCCGCGGATCAGCCGGAGCCTGAGACAAGGCAGCACATGCCAGGACCCACAACCCGCCCGGGCCAGCGGCTCCTGCGCCCCGCACGGGGCCCTCCCCCGGCCCGGGGCGAGCCCAGACCACGGCAGCGCCGCTACCTCCGCCCCGGCCGCCGCCTGCCCCGCGCCCCGCCGGCGGCCGCCGTTACCCGCCGCACCCAACGCCCCGCCCGTGACGGGGCGGAGGAGCCCACGCACCCCCACCTGCTGCGGCCGCAGGGAGGAGGAGGCGAAGGGAAGCGGCTCCCGAGCGAGCCCCGCGGCCGGCACGGCCCCGGCCGGGCCCCGCGGGGTTAAAGCCGCGCCGCGCCCCGCCCCGCCCCGCCGCCATTGGCCGGGCGGTTGCCGGGAGACCTTTAACGGCACCTGCCGCCCGCGGGCGGCCCAGCGCGGCCCGGCCGCGCCTCTGCCACCTGCCCGGCCCCGGGCCCCGCTCCTCTGGTGCTTTAAACCCGGCCCCCTGTGCCATCGCTCTCCGCCTGCGCCAAAAGGCATTCTCTCTCTTTTAAAAGCTCTCTTCAGGAACGGGAAGGTGTGGTGAGGTTTGCCCTGAGCCATCTCCAGGCTCCACAACCCCAGCTGTCAGCCTGAGGTGCCGAGCTGCTCCAGCTCCGAGCATCTTCGTGCTCTCCTCTGGACCCGCTCTCCCAGGACGGCACCGTTCTTGTGCTGGGGACACCGGAGCTGGGCGCGGTGCTCCGGGCGGACTCTCACGGGAGCGGAGAGGGAGCATCCCCTCCCTCCACCTGTTGGACCTTTGGATACAGCCCAGGACAGGGCTGCCTTTCTGGCTTGACTCATGCCCAGCTTTTCGTCCACAAGAACCCCCAAGTCTTTCACCACAGCTGCTCTCAGTGGGTTCTTCTCCACGTCCCATGTCACAAAACTGCCTCCTGACAGCTTTCTCTGTGGCTGGGAGTGATGCTGAAGGAGCACCAAGATAGCCAGCCTGGCACCCAGCTTTATTCCCCAGAGAGCATCAATTAAACTTCCCAATGTCTCACCATTAAATATGTGACATGTTGCCTTTCAAAATTTAAAGTTTTCATCCTAATGTATCTATTTCCAGGTTAATAAACAACAATTTTCAATATTATCAATCTTTACCTGTTGTGGTGGTTTTTTTTAAATTAGGATGAGGTCACCAGAACAGGACCAATATTCTCTTTACATTTAGCTTAGAGGAGAGCACTTTGTTGGAGGATTCAGTGCAAGTAATCACAAGCGTTAAACAAAGCAATCTCAAGCAAAGGAGATTCATCAGAAAATCTGGGACCATAAAAGGGAAATTTTGAGGCGTGGGGTGTTCACAAACAACCACCAAAGACGCTCAAAACACCTCATATTCAAATAAGTTAATGGAAATAATTAGCATCTCCATATGAATTCAGGAAATGTAATGAATATGTAGTAGAAATGTGATGAATATGCATTAGTTCCACGGACATAACCTGGCCTGTTAGGTTGCTCTTCATGAATGCTTTGAGGAGAAATCCCCATACATCAAGCACTGCTAATAAACTAATGCCAGCTTTCTAACGTAGTAAATTTACTGAGAGACTTTATTTCCTGGGTTTTGTGACAGGAAGAGATTGATGATTATTCTTGCTATTTTTTCTTCAAAAGCTAGGGTGTTATAGACCAGATCAAGAAACTAAAAAAAAAAGGAAAAAAATTACAGAAAAGAGAATGCAGTAGACAGAATGACTATTGTGACTACAAAGACACCACCACAGAGAAATAGCAGTGATTGGGATATAAAATATTTATTTTTAATAGATTGTAGTTATATACCTTTTTTAAAATTCAGTTGTGGAGCCAAGTTGGCAAATTTCACTTATTTTCTGAGTATTTTCAGTATAAGAAAGTGGTAACATAGGACACAAGTAGTACCATTAGCATTTTTACTGTTAGGATCACCAAGTAGACAGAACAATGCTCTGTGTGCAACAAGGAATGGAACTGCATAAGAAAATGGGCCTGGTAGGTTTTCCTGCCACAAACACAGCCATGATAAACCTCCCGACATCTCTCACACACTGCTTGCCCTCCTTCCAGATTCTCTTTCATTCAGCATGTCTCATTTTCAAAGGTTGGCTTAAGAATGGAAAAATGCTGAGCAAGGTCAAAACCAGCCTTTCAAAAGTAAAAAAAAATTTGACTTCCAGGAGCAAAGTATACTCCTGCCATGCATATTGGAAATAAAGCTATTTCTCCCATTTATGAGCAGACCATAACTATCTCTCCAGGGAGGTGAAAAATAATATGGGGCAAGTAAGCTGACTATTTCTTGCTGTGTCAGATGCTCTATCAGCTTGCAGAAATACTGAGCATTGTTTTGGCTTTTGCTACCTTTGCAAAAGCACTAAAATGTTTTTAATAACTGATATTTTTTTTTTTTTTTTTTTTTTTTTTTTTTTTTTTTTTTTAGTATTATTTGGGTTATAGGTAATCATTCCTCACAGATTCACAAGAAAACTTGCATTTTATAATTCAGGTTAATGCAGAGACTTTGGATCTTTCTACTGCAGCTTTGCCACAGGTGCACCCCGAGGAGGAAGCAGAATATGTTAGTGGAAATGGCAAGTGGGACAACAGACCTTGCTCACAGGAAGGATTAAGCTCCTGGAGCTTTAAAACATAATACAGGCATGGGTGGTGCCGAATTCCCTTTGTCCATTTGATCTTAGCAGCTGTTCCTGAAGTTGATGCTATTCAAAGGAGAGCTCCCCAAGCACTCTGCTGTGCATCATGGATCAGGTTTGGTTTATGTTTTTTTAAAAGGCTGGCCAGGAAAGGAAAAGTCTTTGTGGGATGCATTCAGGCAAAAGTGTCAGAAAATTTTACCATATGAAAAACTGTAGTCCAACACACTCCTTCACTGATAATGCACCAATTTGGTGTAACATAGTCTTTGTAAACTGGGGTGAGAAGTAAAATACAGTTTCTAAAGTGATTCTTAACAGGGTGACATAAGGAGGATTTTGGTACAGAGAAAGACTGGTATCTTTAGAAACTTGGGGTTCTAAGGGATACAGTAAGGGATAACATCAACTGCTTCCTCTATTCTCTTGAGTAATATCAAAATACCCTGTTGTGGATGTCAGGTCTTTAACAATAACCCAAATGTTAACAGTAACTCCTCAAACAGTTTTTTCCTTCTTTACTTGGTCTTGCTGGAGTCTATTCAACTGAATTATCTGGAGTCTCCTTTTATTTTGCTTTATAATTCAGTTTAAAAATAACCAAACAACTTGTGTTATTTCATAGCTGTTCCACTCTGTCATATAGAC